CAGAAGCTTTCTTAACCGACTTAGATGACTTATTTCTACTTTTTTCCGCCTACGTCTGAGAAAATTACAGTGAATGTAACGTTTAGGCAAACTTAATGAGTGATGCTCATCAATTATTTATACTTCATCATGAGCTCGGAGAGTCAGGGCCTTATTTTTGGAGACCTTACTCCCATTTTTGGATTTACCCCCCCCCATGCTCCCAACCTCTTCGCGCCGCCACTGAGGAAATGATTCTGGTCCGTTTTTTACGACCCATCCATTATACACATAAGGTATATTGATTTTTGCTTTAGTGCAAAACTGCTACCCAGGACGCTGAAAAAGGGTATAATTTATTTTCTATTAAATGTCTATTAACAGCCCACAAAATGTGTCTTAAGTGACATTTTTTAGCTAGTTAATACCGTTTTTAGGCCATTTTTCGACATTATAGCTGGAAACGTATTAATGCCTAAAAATGTCAGTTTTTAACGACCGAGAAACCGGCTGAAAACAAGTATGTAATAGTGACCGTTTAATGGCCATTTTTGCGTAATCGGCAAGGATCTGACTGTTGATCATGACTAATTTCTTCCTGATCACTATCGTGAAACAAATGACTTTTCAAATTTTTTAATATTTTCGGTTGACTATAGATGTAATCGATGTCATCCCTAGAACTAGTAGCTACTTCCTCAACACAAGTTTCGATGACTTATATAGTCGAGGCAGACCAAAACTCTACGTTTTCTATGAGAAAACAACGTGAAATATATAGTAGGGAAGTCGGCGAAACAAAAGGAATTAAACGGTAAACGTTAAATGTTCGGACAATAAAATACCATTTAACGGTAATCTAAATCTGAGCCCTACTAACACACAATTAATTGTTTGTTTTTAGGTTATCATTAAAAGTCAGGTGGAGGACAATAAATGGTGACTGTTAACTGACCATTTTTTCACATTTAAACAATTAAAAACCTGTTGTAGCCCTGCTGTTAGCCATTTCGTTAACAGACCATTTATGTCCAATTAAATGTCAGTTGTTTTTGACCTGGGTACCGCTTATTCTCTTAAAAATGTCGCTATCTAACCATAATATGCGTCGTTATTTTAACTTTTATAGATTAAATATAGTTTGATGGATCGTAAACGCGTAAAAAACAAACCGAGAAATATTCAGGGCCGGCCTATTTTCGATGTACCATATGTATTTCGTGTAAAAAGTCGTCCTATTGTCTCCACAAGTGAAAATAAAGAACAGTATAATCATGACCATTGTCGCATTAAGTCCTCTGATCACCAGCACAAATATGTACCATGTAAAGCCTGTAATCGATCTCTATCCTATGACGGACAACACCAGCGGACAAGAAAACGTCCTTTATCATCACGAGCTGTTCGTCACGATCCATGTTACAGAGATGTTCAAAATACTGGCTACGATTATACTTTATCTCAAGAAAGCAAACATCCTCCGTCAAATTCAGATTTAGAACGACTAAGTCGACCGAAAACCGCACCATCAACAACTAACTGCAATTGGAATAATTTTATCAAGAAAAAAAGTAAATATGGTAAGCTAGAAAGTTTTCAGTCGGTATGTTTGGTATAAAACACAGCGCTCAAAATCTCTCGATCTAAAACATCACTAGATAGTTGTATAAAGATTGTTAACAAAGCCTCATTTACTTCTCTACCATTTTTATAACGTAGAATATATGAGACCGGAAACTTCTTCAAAATAGTCTCGATCTGTAGCCAACGAAAATAAGAATTTACATCTTTTCCATAGTTTAGCTACAATCACTTAACGTTGTTATTGTTTTTGTATTTAGCGATCAGTACGCCTTATGCGACATGTGATTTATCACCTGAAAACGAATGGAATGAAACTCGTCCCCCATTCGCGAATTATGGCTCAGGTTATAACGATAAACAAACAGGAAAAAAACGAACATTCAATTCATTAGCTGTTCATGTAGGCTCTTCTTCTCGGTATACTGCAGTTATTGATGATTTTTCTTTTAGCAACTTAAACACAACGAATTAGATGAAATAAGACGAATGAATCACTTGCATGAAATTCGACTTCGACAACAAGCTGAAGCTTATTTTCGTGAATTAGATGAACGGCGTGCAATGGAGGCAGCTAGAAATGATCGAAACTCACGAAATGCGACCGAATATAGAGAAAAATATCGACCACCAAATGAATATATTTCTACTCGTAATGTATCAACTCAAGTTCGAAAATAGATGAAATATGCTTTTCTTTTTTTGAGTAGCTGCTAATTATACGTACTTTTTTATACAATTTAACAAATTATATAAACAATTAACTAGTAAAAAAATTAAGTTTGGGTTTATTTTCTCTAAAATTCTTAACGAATGATAGTAATGTGTCTTTTTCATTGTTCAATACATTAACAAATTTTTTTACCAATTTTCAAACAGTCTTATAGTCAACACTACATGCCAAACTGTTTGGTCTTAAATAGAAAATCTATTAGATGACAAATATCGTGACAGAGTTACTCGTCGCATTTTTGTATCGTATTCAACAACAAAAAATTTTCGATTTTTTATCTTATGGTTCATGCGGTTTTTGGTAATCACCTTTGTACGAGTATCCTGAACGATAGGAATAACGATCATACATGCCTATTTTTTTAAAGGCTAATATCATTGAACGTGAAGGTGACCATAGTTCTGACGAGGAAAGGACACCAAGTGATAAATCGCTTCTAGCTTAAAACTTAGTGAACAATAGGTAATCGAATGTGCTGATTCCGAATACTAACATGAGACGGGCCGCTAGGCCTCCAAAGACCGGATTTCTAGAAAACCAGTTTTCCAGAAACTCCAAGAACTCTCCAGAACTTTTCTTAATAAGTTAAAATTGTAGCGCGCGAAATTCTGATCACAATGAGACATTGCCCAGCTCTACATGATATTTCTTTGCAAAG